AGTTTTATTTGTGACATATTTAATAAATTATCTATTTTCAGTCAGTTATATTCAGTCACTTTAATTTTAAAACTGTGTATATGATGTATATTCTGTGTATTTATTATCTCACTCTTATTGCCTGTTTATGCCCCGTCTTTATCTTCAACATCATGTTGCTCTGTTGTATCTTAATTGCCCCCTTGGGGATAAATAGTCTTTCTGACTGTGATTGTGATTTATATTTTTTATGTAGAAGGTTTTGACTGCATGGAGACATTTGGGGTGCAGTTATTGAAGAATTGTGGATAGAAATGTTTAGAAAATGGCCCAAAATAGGCTGAATCTGTACACATTTCTGTTTAATAGAGTGTGTGCTAGGACCGATTCTTAGGCACTAAACCCCCAGATGTACAGCCAAGTGTGCGCATGCTGCTGTAAACACTTCATAATGTTTTAAACATAGTAGGTATCACGTTATTTCTGTCACACAGTCACCCGTATGGTCGACACAAGCTTTTTTGTCAGCTCTGTATAAAAGACCTGGTTTACCTGTGAGTCTGGTAAGGTGCCAACTTCCTGTTCCTGCTTATCAGCCTTGTCAGGGCATGATTCCATCATCCTGCAACAACAACAACAAAACGAGAAAGCAACTGTAGATTTAAAAATTAACTGTCAAAACAGCCAACAGGGCTAAATGATCACACATACACAAACTCGCTGTCAAAAACATGACATTTATCCATTTAGTATGGTCAACAAGTTGGTGCAAATCCCGCCCTTCGAAAAGCAGGCGTTTCGGAGGGTCGCTGTGAATTCGGCAAACAAATAAATAAACAAAAGAAGTCAGTCAGCTTCGTTAGCCAACGACTGATTAGCTCATTGCTACGATTTAACTGCTAAGTTAGCCAGCTAACAACAATGGTTAGCACTGCAGGGGAAAACACCGTAACAATAGATTTGTGAGCGTTTTTGCCAAGTCACAGTCAAACGTCATCACTGTATCATCGATGTCTATTCCAGACACTCGTGCACTTTTCATTTGTGTATCACAAATTTCTGATTAGTGCCACTGTTCACTTGACAAGGAGCCGCACCTGTCAGTTAAGAATCACAACACTTTTTAACAAATGTCCGGTATCCTTTCCGAAACAGGAGTCGGACAGTAACCGTTACGTTGGGATACTACTCGACAAATATACTCACGTTGCTGTTATATCTTCAACATCGGGTGCTAAAACAGAAGAATATTCTTTTGTATGCTAACCAACGTAGAGCTAAACAAAATAAAAAGACGGCGCTCTGAGTTTGAAACGGACCAATCGGCTTCGACAAGAAACTGCACATGCGTGCTTTGTGTTGCGTTCAAATGTAAGGCGTACAGGCGGATATTAGAACTCGTAAATAAACCAGCGGAGATCTCTACAAAGCGTCTGTTATCAGGCTGTTATCAACCAGTTATCACATGAGTGGTTATAATACAAAGTAAACAATTAAATTGTTAAATTAGCTTATCTAAACAAAACATTTAATTTATTTTAGAGTCATTAAAACCAAAATACATCAAAATCTCGCTAGTTCAGGATTAAATGACGCGATGAAGAGTTAGTTTTTGGTAGATGGTAAAGAGAGGACAAAAAGTGAATTTAACCATCTGTTGTGCTTGGGCTTAGTGAAATACGGGATTCACGATGTTCATAATCTGTAACCAAAAACTCTATGTCACAAAAGGGACCTAGTTTTAAGAGACCTGTTAGTGGTCATAATGTTAGGCCTGATCAGTCTAAGTTTCACATGATTGTGTACCCCAACAGGAAATGAATCTCTTTGTAATGCTGAAAATCCAGAGTTTACGTACTAATCCTCAATTCTTGAGTCACTGTAAAAGGCCTAAAGCTGAATTTAATGCACTGATGAACCTTAGCCAAAACAACAACTTGACCATGAGGTGGTGCACCACATAAAATCAT